TTTTTTTTTTTAAATGTTTATTTATTTTTGAGAGAGACAGAGTGAGTGGGGAAGGATCAGGGGGACAGGGGGACAGAGGATTTGAAGCAGGATCCATGCTGATAGGAGAGAGTCCAATGTGGGGCTCAAATTCATGAACTGCAACTGCAAGATCATGACCTAAGCCAAAGTCAGATGCTTTAACTGAGCCACCCAGGTGCCCCTGTAAGATCCATTTCTTATTGTAGGTTGTGGTGAAAGAAGTTCCAGAGCCACTAACTTTAACAAAAGCTATTCTAGCAAAACTCAAAATAAGAAGGATTCTTTATTCTACTGGGGGAAGAGATGGGGAAATCAGTAGCTGATGCACTAAACTATGACAGGCTCAAATCCCAGCTTCATCACTCCCTGGTTGAGTAAACCCTTAAGATGTTATTTAACCCCACAAGGGCTCACTTTCTCATCTGTAAGGTGGGAATACTATTAGCAGTACTTATATCCTAGTCCAGAGGTGAGAATAAAATACGAAAATGCACATAAAGTATTTTTAGCACAGTGTTTGGCACACAGTAAACTCCCAAGTGTTCATTTTGCTGTTGATGTTGCTGATGATTACTCAGTAAAAGAATTATTAACGTCACAGTGAGAAAATGAAATCTCTATTTAAAAAGTTAGAAAATTACCTCTCAACTTCTTATAACTGCTTCCTGTATTGTTTATCAATTGATTGTTGCCTCTTTGTAGTCTCCATTCATGTACCTTTCTCAGAGTAACGATTATCGTCTGATATAAAGAGGGGGGAGTTGAAATACATAGCCCACTTTAAAAGATCTATTATAAATACTGATTTGCTATTACTCGATTCCCTTCCTGGTCTTCTTAATACCACTCCCCAAAGTTTATTCTTCACTAGTCACTCTAACCACAACCTTCACCTCTCTTCTTTGCTCACTGATGCTCAACAGATGCCCTTAACTAGCTATAAGCTAGAAAGGTCTCAAATCAATGACCTCAGTTTCCACCTTAAAAAAATAAACAAAGAAAGGCAAATGAAACCCAACTAGGTACCAAAAAAAAGAATAAAGAGTGGAAATTGATGAAACACAAAAGAACAGAGAAAAATCAAAGATACCAAAAGCTGATTCTCTGGGAAAATCAATAAAACTGATAAACCTCTAGCTAGACTGATCAGGAAAAAAAGATACAAATTACCAATATCAAGAATGAAAAGGCGACATCACTATATATTCTACAGATATTAAAAGGACAATAAGGAACTATCATGAACAACTTAATCCCAATAAACTCAACAATTTATGTAAAATATACAAATCCTTAAAAGACACTACCAAAGTTCAATTAAAAAGAAATAGATAACCTATTTCTAAGTCTATTCAAGAAGTTGAATTTGTAGTTAAAAACCCTCACAAAGAAAACCACAGGCCCAAATGACTTCCCTGGTAAATTCTCCCAAACATTTAAGGAAAAAATAATACCAATCTTATACAAACTCTTCCAGGAAATTGAAGAAGAAGGATTATTTTCCAACTCATTCTACAAGGCCAGTATTACCCTGACAACCAAAACTAGACAAAGACATTATGAGAAAAAAGTATATGTATTAAGTCAATATCCCTCATGAACACAAACACAAAAATTCTTGACAAAAGTTCAGCAAACCTAATCCAACAAAATATACATGGGATAACACATGGTGAACAATTGGGGTTTATCCAAGAAAGGCAAGGTTAACTTTTGGAAATCAATGTAATTCAGCACATTAACAAAATAAAAAGAAAGCATTTGACAAAATACAACACCTAATCTTATAAAATTACTTAGAAAACTAGAAATTAAAGAATTTTGTCATTCTGATTAAGAGCATCTGTGAAAAACCTACAATTAGTATCATACTTAAGGGCGAAACACTGAATGCTTTATTCTTTTTTTTTTTAATGTTTATTTTTGAGTGAGAGAAAGAGAGACAGAGAGGGAGGTAAGGCCATAGACAGAAGGAGACACAGAATCCGAAGCAGGCTCCAGGCTCTGAGCAGGCAGCACAGAGCCCGATGTGGGGCTTGAACTCATGAAACATGAGCTCATGATTTGAGTTGAAGTTGGATGCTTCACCAACTGAGCCACCCAGGCGCCCCCTGAGTGTTTTATTCTTAAGGTTAAGAATAGTACACAGTGTTTACTCAAACTGCTTCTATTTAACACTGAACTGGAGGTTCTGACCAATGCAATGAGGCAAGAGAACAAAATAACAGGTTTTTATACTTTAAAGGAATAAGTAAAACTGACTTTATTGGCAGACAACATGATTGTCTATTCAGAAAATCCTGTGGAATCTACAGAAAAAAAAAAAAAACTATTAGAACTAATAAGTGAGTTTAGTTAGGTTGCAGGTATAAAATCACCATATAAAAATCAACTGTTTTTCTATACACTAACACAGAGTATCAAAAATACAAATTAAAAAAATACTACTGACATTACATTAAAAGAGCACAAAAAATACTAAACACTCAGGGATAAACCTTGTGTGCTAAGAATTAGAAACCATTGCTAAGGAAAATTAAAGAAGATCTAAAAAAATGGAGAGATATACGATGTTCATAGACCAAAAACTCAATATTGTTAAGATGTTAATTGTCCACAAACAGAACTACAGATCCAATGCAATCAAAATCAAAATTTCAAACTTTTTTCCCCTGAGACTGACAAACTGATTATAAGGCATATGAAAATATTAGAGGACTTATACTACCTGACTCAAGACTTATAGTGATCAAAACAGTGTAGTCTTAGCACAAAGACAAGTAGGTCAATGGAACAGAGTCCAGAAATAGATCAACATATAAACTCTCAAATGGTTTTTGACAACGTTTCCCAAGCATTTGGTGGAGAAAAGATAGCTTTTCAATAAATAATGTTTAAACAGCTGGATACTAAATGCAAAAAACAACAACAACAAAAAAAAACCCAAAACAAAAAAAAACCCACCTCTGATCCATGCATCACATGACACGCATAAGTTAACTCAAAACTGGTTAAAGACCTAAATGCAAAATCTTAAACTATTAAACTATTAGAAGGAAACATAACAGGAAGTCTTTGTGTCCTTGGGTTAGGCAAAGATTTCTTATATATGATACCAAAAATTCTGCCACCATCCATAACAGAAAAGTGTTAAACTGGATTTCACCAATATTAAGAACTTCTCATAATCCATATTTCATCAAATGAAACACTACTGTTAAGAGATTAAAAAGACAAGCCACAGACTGAAAACATTTGCAAATCACATATCTGATAAATGAAATGTAACCAGAACACAGAACTCTCAAAAAATAAGAGAACTCAATTTTTAAAATGTACAAAAAATACCTCAAATATATACAAATAGCAAATAAACACATGAAGACAGTCAACATCATTAGTCATTAGGAAAATGCAAACTGAAATCATAATGAGATATCACTACCCACCATTAGATTGTCTAAAATTAAAAAGACTGATCATACCAAATGTTGGAGGTCATGGGGAAGCAAATGAAACTTTCACATATTGCTGGTGGGAATGTCAAATGAAACCACCACCTTGGAAAACAGTTTGGCAGTTTCTTTAAAAGAAATACCACATGCCTCACCTGTATTACTACTAAGTATATATCCAAGAGAAATGAAAGCTTATGTCTGCATAAAGACATATGCATGAATGTTCACAGCAACTTCATTCATTAATAGTCAAACAATGAAATCAATCTGAATGTCTATCAATAGGTAAATACATAAACTGTGGTATATTCATGCAAAGACATACTACTCAGCAGTAAAAAGGAACATAGTAAATAATATACACAACATGGATGAATTCTTAAAGAATAGTGCTGAAAAAGCCAGAAACACATGTACATATATTCTATATACCATTTATAAAATACTGTATTATAATATCCTATATACCATTTATAAAAAAATTCTAGAAAATTAATCAACCTCTCAAAGACATCCTATTTGGCTTTCAAGACTCAGTCCTCAAATGTCGACTTCTTTTTGAAAATGAATCTACAGTGACATAAAGCTGTTCAGTCTCATGCAAATGAGAACAGAAGTGGAGGGAGAGGAAAGGGAGATTATAAAAGGACAAAGGAAACTTTTTGGGGTACTGGATCTGTTATCTTGATTGAAGTTATAGCTTCAGAAATGTAGATATAACTTATCAAAGTTATCAAATCATGTGGTTTAAATACATGCAGTTTACTGAATGTCAAAGATATCTGGAAGTTATTTTTTAAAAAAGGAAAAAAAAGGACCAATTACACTGCCCTTTTTAATTTTAATATTTTAATTTTGTTTAAATCCAAGTTAGCATAGAGTGTAACAATGGTTTCAGGAGTAGAATTTAATGATTCCTTACTTACATGTAACACCCAGTGCTCATCCCAACAAGTGCCCTCCTTAATGCCCATCACCCACTTAGCCCACCCTCCCCCACTCAACACAGCTCCACCAATCCTCCGTTTGTTCTCTTTAAGAGTTTCTTATGGTCTCTACTTTTATTTTTCCATCCTTTCCCCTAGGTACATCTGTTGTTTCTTAAATTCCACATATGAGTGAAATCATATATTTGTCTTTGACTGACTTACTTTGCTTAGCATAATACTCTCCAGTTCCATCCATGCTGTTGCAAATGCCAAGATGTCATTGTTTTGATTGCCTAGTAGTATTCCACTGTATATATACCACATCTTCTTTATCCACTCATCAGTCGATGGACACTTGGGCTCTTTTCATAATTCGGCTATTGTTGATAGTGCTGCTATAAACACTGGGCATTTTTGTATCCTTTGGATAAATACCCAGTAGTACAATTGCTGGGCTAGAGGGTAGCTCTATTTTTAAGTTTTTGAGGAACCTCCATACCATTCTCCAGAGTGGCTGCACCAGCTTGCATTCCCATCAACAGTGCAAAAGTTACACTGCCCTTTTTAATTATCCTTTAAAGCTTCCATCATCAACTACAAGGTCAAGTCTAAATTTCTAAGCAGAGTACACAAAAAGTTTCTGTACATTTTTATTTCAAGCATTTTATGCTGCACAGCCAATCTTTGTGTATGTCTTTTTTTTTTTTTTTTTTTTTTACAGGAAGAAAGCCATTTGACATCCACCAAGGATTTATTTTTTTTTATTTAACATTTTTATTTATTTTTGAGAGACAGAGAAAGAGAGAGAGAGAGTGCAAGCGGAGGGGGGACAGAGAGATAGGGAGACACAGAATCCAAAGCAGGCTCCAGGCTCCGAGCTGGAGCACAGAGCCCAACAAGGGGCTTGAAGCCATCAACTGTGAGATCATGACCTAAGCCAAAGTTGGACGCTTAACTGACTGAGCCACCCAGACAGCCCTATGTATGTCTTTTTATATGTAGTATTCTGTCTGCAAGAATTACCTTCTTGTAGATATCCTATGTAGCTTTCAAGACTCAGGCCTCAAAAGTTCCCTTCTTGTAATCTTTTATAAAAAATACTCTTCTTCAATTCCTTCACCAGGCAGAGCTGGTTGCATCTTCTTTGGTCCCAGCAGGATATACCTACTTTGCACTGATTCTTTATATGCTACCTCCTTTCTCCACACTATTCGAAAGTAAGGTATATGTCTTTCATTTATATCCTCAATGTCTAACATGGCAGCTGGTACAAAGTAAACACATAATGTTGCTGGATCAGAATGCACTGAATTGAACTAAATTTCTATCTTGTAAGTTTCCAGACAAAGGTCATGATTTAGAGCTAGTTACTGTGACTCAAACAATATAATGTTGACAGTTTCAAGTTCGATGATCTTTAGAAGTATTTTAACCTATTTCCAGCATTCAGAAAACTAGACACAGTAATTTACCAAATATATCCATAACCCACAGATGTGTCATATCTTAACATTTTTCCAAATGTACTTCAGATCTGGGGGGTGAGGGGTCCTACATTATAAATATGGATACAGTCCCTTAGGTACTCCTCCTTCATGGCAACCACTATCCTGTATTTATCATGCCTATGCTTGTCCACATCCCTAAACGATATAAGGTATAGTTTTACTTTTTAAAAATTTATATAGAGGTATTATACTGAATATATCTTTTCCCCATCTTGTTCAACATTGTATTTCTGAGATTTGCTAATGTTGATACATGTAACTCTAGTCATTTAAATTGTTATATAGTTTTCTAGTGTATCAACAATGTCAGTTTATCAATTCTCTTTTTGAGGCACACTTAATTTGCTTCTAATTTTTTACCATTATAAACAATGTGGCACATATACCTATTAGTTTCTCTAAGGAATTCTCAAGTTACTATCCAAAGTAAAGATACAATTTTTATTCCAATGGCAGTGTATGAAAATATCTATTGCTCTCCATCCTTACCAACATTTGATATCATCAGACTTAATTTTTGCAGACTGAATGAGATACTATTTTCCCTATTTTACGTTTCATTTTCCTATTAGTGAGAGTGAAAATCTTATTGGTAATTTGCATTTTCTCTATTTGTTTATGTGTAGCCTTTATTTCCTATTGATTTATGTGTGTAATTTATACTGATTTACCGCCTGTCAATATAAATTATATAAACCATATACACATCAATACAAATAAAAAATTAAGATGCTCTCAACTCTCATTTCCACTGCTTAAGAGGTACATATCTCAGTTTCTTCATCTGTAAAATGGAATAAAAACCTCACAAGGTGGTTACAATGATTAAATGAGTAATGTATACCTAAAGTGCTCTGAACATGGTATGTGCTATACAATTATGTGCCACTATTATTTGTTTCACATAATCTTCTGCTAGTAATACTAGCTATAAATACTTCTTGCAGGCTGTGACTTATCTGTTTACTTTGTTAAAGTGTGTTTGTTGGACAGAAATTCTAAATTTTAATAGAGTCAACTTTTCATTCTTTTCCTTTAATACCTGGGTTCTTAAAACATCCTTCTCTCCCTAATGCTCTATATTTTTATAAGATAGTTCTAAACCTCCCTTTCATGTATTGATTTAATATCTTACAAAAAAATTTTGGTATATTCAACTCGTAAAATTATATTAAAATATACTTGTAAATAACTTTAAAAATAATTCTGTTCTTCATTTTTTTTTTAATTTTTTTTTCAACGTTTATTTATTTTTGGGACAGAGAGAGACAGAGCATGAACGGGGGAGGGGCAGAGAGAGAGGGAGACACAGAATCGGAAACAGGCTCCAGGCTCTGAGCCATCAGCCCAGAGCCTGATGCGGGGCTCGAACTCCCGGACCGCGAGATCGTGACCTGGCTGAAGTCGGACGCTTAACCGACTGCGCCACCCAGGCGCCCCTAATTCTGTTCTTCAAAACAAAAACTCTATCTTTATTACAAAAAATAGTTGTACCTAACCAGATAGCAGATTTATATCTTATTACAAGGCAAAAATTAAAATACACAACTATATATAAATAAAATAAATTTACAATTACTCTTACCCTATGACATCTTTCAAAGGCTTGTTTGGTTTCTTGTAAAAGATTAACCACCACTTCTTGAGATAGGAAAGTTTCCCCATGAGTATCGATACTTGGCCCCAGTGGTAAGTTAGTACGTTGTCTAATTCTCTCTTTCAAATCTTGAATACTAATGGATCATGACAACAAATAAAAAGAGAACACTTTATTATACACAGATTTCAATTTCAAATGCTGTTCAACTTAGTATACACCAACAAAGAAAAATGGACTAACTGCCAGGAGACCTAAAAGTTCTAATTCCAACAAACTCTAGTTCTATAAAGTGAAACAAACCTTAATGTCTACACAGAAGACTTTCATCTGAAAAATTAGTATATTTGGAGTTAGGACTTTTAAAGTCTTTTTCAGCTCTATAATTCTGACTCAATAGCCAAAAACTCCTTATTTGGTTTCCTTAGCAAGTGGACTATTCCAAATTAGTTAATATAACTAAATGGTCCTTCTTAAAATAAACTTTAGGAATTTAATGCTTTTTAAATACATTTAACCATTTTAACATACTTCTTATTTCTTCATTATTATTAAATAAGATATATTAACCATAATATAGCTTTTCTTAATGACTGAGTAACCAGTCACTTTGAACATTTATTATACGGTGGTATCTTTAGGTTAAACTTCTTTTGCTCCTAGAATACCTAACTCTGGAGTATTGTGAACATTTTTTTTTCAGATGTTATTTTTTTTTTAAAGTAATCTCTACACACAATGGAGGGCTCGAACTTACAACCCTAAGATCAAAAGTTGCATGTTCCACCAACTGAGCCACCCAGGAGCCCCAAACTAATTTTTTTTTTTTTTTTTTAATTCTCATGGTTGTTCTTTAGTTTTTTTCTTCCCTTATTTGCTGCTGCCTTTCAGATGTCATTTTTTAAGTTTATTTATTTTGAGAGAGAGAGACAGAACACACGTGCACACACACGTGCACACGAGCACAAGCAGGAGAGAAGCAGAGAGAGGACAGAGAGAGAATCCCAAGCAGGCTCTACATTCCATGCTAAGTCCGACGCAGGGCTTGATCTCACAACTATGAGATCATGACCCGAACTGAAATCAACAGTTGGACACTTAACCTACTGAGCCACCCAGGTGCCCCCAAGAGGTCACTTCTTATTCCTAACTATAACCTCTCCCTGATCATTATGTAGTATATGCCAAACTGGGAATCAAGAAAGTGATTTGTGTATACTCTGGACTCTAATTACATGGCTCTGCATAAGTCATTCTGCTTCATACTAAAAATGACTGGGTTCCACATAGTTGAGATCTGGATAACTAAGATGCCACCAATTCTCAGAACAAATCATTTTCTTCTAGTATGTGAATAATCCCAGGCTTTAGGTATTAATTAATTAATTTTATGCCCGAGTCATTAAAAGCTCAGGGTACTTAAAATGTAAACTATTTGCTATTTTTTTTTCCACACCTGCAACAACAAAAAATGATGTGTTTCCTAGTTAATAACCTGGAATAATTTATTCAGTCTAGGAAAAAAAAAAGGCGACTATTTATAGTGCTGGTATTCTGCTTTACATTTTAATTACATCATGTTAGGTCATTTCAATACATGGTTCAAGAGACAAGATTTGATCAGTGGTGTCATAAATAAGCTGGGTTAAATGAGTTCTTCATAGAAAATTTCAGTAACTGTCAATATTTGACAAGTTTGTCCAAATACAATAAAATTCTTAACATCTTTAGTTTTAACTGTAACATTTAAAAAAACACTTACCCTCCTGTGCCAATGGATCTCTTTTGATGGTTTTTTGAATCATAATAGCGCTGTAGGATCATAGCACTCCTGCTTTTCAAATATCCAGTCTCTACCTCAATGTAGTTCTCCAAATAGGAAATGAAAATGGATTTGATAAGCTTAGACAAGAAAGTCTGTTTATCAGTACCTAAGTTAAACTCCATCAACTTGCTGGAAAGATTTGTGGTTCTTTTCATGGAAAAAGGGAGAAAAAGATGAATGTATATTTTAGGTAGAGTAATAACACTGAGGAATACATATTTTTACAATGTAATTTTAATAACTTATGTTAAACCACCATTTCTTAAACCTTGGGAAGGTGCTTAGGATACAGAGAGAAGCTGCACAGTGCTATATATAAAGTAGATTGACATCACAAACAACACTGTGGTTTTGCAAACTGACTAAGGATAATCTCCTAGGGATAGAAGAGAAAAAATCTAGGCAACCAACCAGTCTAGAAATGACAACAGTGGCAGAATGACTTCAACTACACTCTAATGGCATTCATAACATAGTACCCAAGTCAGAATACTGAAAGATCTACTCTCTGTTCATTCTCCCTTTTGTCTTTGCCCATGTGGACTTTTCTTTAATCTTCTGTTTTGCATTGTTAAACACAGACTCACAATAAACGTTGTTGGGATGGACTTCCTGATTATAGTTACTTTTGAAGACCCTCCTCCCAAAATGACGTCACTGACAAAGAACAATAGGACTGGAAAAAAACTCCATTAAGAGGCTTCTGATATAATATTTCTAAGTGTAACACTTTCATTTACAAAAGCCTAAGGCAAATTTTCATATCAAACTTAAGGCTGAAACTCATTTGTTAAGAATTTGTGACTTTCTCAATTTCTAAAGATTTAACTGCAGATAAATATAATCATACTACTTCTTAGAAAAAAAAATGATAGGGAACTAGCTTACAATTAAAATTCAAAACAAAATTCTTGAGTCTTAAACAACATAAACAAAGTTTCATTAAAGTACATGACTATAAAGAATATCTGATTCCTTAAGTTAATGTGCTAAGAATGCTGCTCTTTCTATAACAGTAATCTACGTAACCAAGTATTTAATGCTGAAAGGTATACTACTAACAAACTTTTACTCAAAAATACCTGAATACTTCACCATTTTCTATTAAAAAAAAAAAGGAAAGAAAATCTGCGATGTTACTATTTTCTAGTAATTAAAAACATACCTTGTATATAAATCATAGAGATTTTTGAGATACTGCTCTGCATCAGACTTCCTACATTCTTCTAACTGGTCTTTCACAAAACTCTGGAGGGGAAAAAAAAATGGCCAACATTATGTCAAGTAAACATTATATTTTTTCTCTAAATTACTCCACATTCTGGGGCTGTTCTTACTTAAAATACAATGGAAAAGGCAATGCCTAAGAAGTATACCAATATAAAAAAATAATAGGCTTTTAATTTTTAATGCTTCTCATATTTACATGTTCATCTATAGCAGTCTTGGGAATAAGTATTAAGAATTTCAAAATTTCTTTTGAAACTGGCCTATCTTGCTTTTTAAAGTACATTTAAAAAACAAAACCCAGAAGCACCCAGGTGGCTCAGTTCGTTAAGCATCAAACTCTTGATTTTGGCTCAGGTCCTGATCCCATAGTTCCTGGGATTGAGCCCCACATCAGGCTCTATGCTAATGGAGTGGCACCTGCTTGGGATTCTGTCTCTGCCCCTCCCCTGCTCATGCTCTCTCTCTCTCTCTCAAAATAAATAAATATTTAAAAAAAAACAAGAAACAAAAAAACCCCACAAAATCTGATGCTGTATCGATATAGTCAATTCCTTAAAGCAGCATTTCTCAAACTGTGGCCTGGCTAACACTAGTGTCCCCTATGATTAACAGGCATTACTCTAAAATTGGGAAATGCTGTACTTTACATTCCTCCTAGAGAATCACAATATGTGTTAGTAGTACCTTTAAAGGCTATAAAAATTCCTGAATTGTGTTTTAAAAACAAAAACTTCTTTTATGTTGCTTAATCCAGTAGAAAACACAGTTTAGGAAATGTTGCCTTAATGTATAGTGCTATGGGAGTCCAGGTTGTACATTAAATTACTGTTTTCAGGAGGAGCCAAGATGGCGGAACAGCAAGGAACTTTTTTGTGTGTCTCACGTCCATGAAATACAGCCAAAACAACACTAAACCATCCTACACACCTAGAAATTACTATGATTTTTCTTTTCATATTAGTACCATATTATGAAAATTCTACATACTGTGCTTAAAATTCTTACTCAATTTCATAAATACATTCATTGGTCAAAGTGAGGACCCAATAAAAATAAAAATCTGAGGCTACCGGGTCACCTGTGTGGTTCAGTCAGTCGAGCGTCTGACTTGGGCTCAGGTCATGATCTCATGGTTCATGAGTTCAAGCCCCACATTGGGCTCTCTGCTGTCAGTGCAAAACCTGCTTTGGATCCTCTGTCCCCCTCTCTTTCTGCCCTTCCCCTACTAGCATGCTCTCTCTCTCTCAAAAAACAACAACAACAACAACAATCTGAGGCTACCCCTCTACAACGTTTTATGACTTGTACTGCTGCTACACAAATTTTAAACATGTGCTCTGATGATGCTTGGTGATTAGCACCTTTTTTCTTGGTGAACAATATTTTTTTAAAAAAGCATGACGTTGTTATTCTTTTCCCATTCACTGAATAAGGAGATTACTATTCCAAAGGGCATTACATGAGTAAACCAAAAATTAAAAAACAAATAAATAACTTTCAAAACAGAGAAAAAAATCACTTATTGCCTTAAGAATTACTTAGTCATAGTTTAAAATTACCTGTAGTTTGATTTCAAATACATTTTGAATAAGTTTAGCCAGTACTGTTTCTGGATTACTAAAGATATCTCCAACTTGTTTGTTTACCCGTTGACAGAGTATTGCTGCATCTTCAAATATATCATTTCTCAAGTAAGCACCCTAAACAGAGGCATTTTACATAGTTAATGTATAATTTTAAAATGGTTTTTAAAATACAAATTAGCATAAAATAAAATCCAGAAAATTGTACTATTAGGTTACCTCCTGGCACTGCTTTATATAAACATCAACACAATGGGAATAACCCTACAAAGAAGAAAGAAATACATTATCACAGTTCTGTTTTAATAACAATAATCACAACAGTAATAATCTCAATAAAAATTATTATATGTAATAAAGCTATGTCTATGTCCCAATAAATCACCAATAATAACAGTTGTTGGATTAAATGAAATTCTCCCAGTTGCTTTTTATGAAATTGATCACCTGGTTCATATCCTTGCAAGATTTTAGAATGAAAGAAGAAAACTGGTATGAGTTTTTTGTAGTCATTTTGCCTATGATCACCTAGCCAATCTCCTTCAACTCCAAAACATGTATATGCATGCATGTACCCACACACACACAGATTCACTCTTCAGAAAAGGTTATTAATATATATAAATAAATACATTATGTATTTCATATTAATATATATATATGTGTGTGTGTGTGTATATATATATGTGTGTGTGTATATATATATATATATATATGTATATATTTCCTTCTTTCCACTCTTGGATTCAAAGCATTTGTGTTCCCTTGCAAGACTCTGAACAGAGCTGTATTTAACTGGCATTCTGGAAATTTACTTTTAAAATTAAATCTATTTTAGCAGAATGTATTTAAACAAAATAATGTGTCATATTAAGCTCTCTATAATGATTTTTGTCCATTAACAAATCATACATAAAAACAAGTAAAGTAAGCAATGCCAAAGTACACTATTGTGTCAAGAGCCATTCTCAATACTTAGTATGTTACTTGTAAGTGAAAAGTCCAACAAAAAACTCCTATTTCCTACTCAGATACAAATATAAACAGATCGGGGGTACCTGGGTGGCTCAGGTGGTTGAGAGTCCGACTCTTGATTTCGGCTTGGGTCATGATCCCAGGCTCATGGAATCAAGCCCCATATCAGGCTCTGTGCTGAGCCTGTTTAAGATTCATTTTCTCTCTCTCTCTCCCTCTCCCACTCCCTCTCCCTCTGCCCCCCTACCCTATTTGCATTCTCTCTCTGAAAAAAAAAAAAAAGGAAACAAATTGCAAAGCACTATTTCTTTAATTTCTTTATAGGGATTCTCTCCCTAATTCAAAATCCAAGAAGATAGTATTTCTTTGTATTACTACCTAAGATCTTCTGGATTTAAGTCTTTTACTAATTATATTCCATCTAATCTCTGGCTCCTACATTCCACCAGATATTTAAAGCTAAATCTTTTTACTTTTGACCTATTTCATAACATGTTTGACTGAAAAAATAAAAAGACAAGAAGACAGTATGATTTTCTATGTCAACCAATATAAAAATTCATTGATAAAATTTTATTGAATATAATATTAAATACCTAAAATTTAACATAATTTATGGAAGAGATATGAAATATACATTTAAATTGTTCAAAACAATAAAAATAATCACTGTGAGAGTCATACAACTAACAGGATAATCGGTGACTATAATATATAGAATTTATATAATCTCCACAATCTTGAAGATTAATCTTCATTTTTAATAATTACTATTTACCTTAAAATGAAGCAAAACTGCTGCTACTTCTCGCATTCTGGAGATTTCACCTCTTCTTTGAGCACTGGTAAACTCCTGAATCAGTTGGCATTCTAAATCATGGTATTTACCTAAAAGTAAAAAGGAAGTAATTCAGCTACAACAGGACAACGTATGCAAGTTATTTACAAGCACATGAATTATTTACAAACATAATGACTATGGATCTAGCCTTCTTTTGAAAGACTTATAAAAACAATATGTGATTATAGGCAGTGAGTCTAGCCCCTAAAATACACTATGATATAATATAAATCTGTATTTTTAAAGACAAAGAAATCTTCCCAACCAGGAAAACAGCTGAACTCCCTTGGTCTGACTACCACTTACCACTGTTACTTAAAAAAGCAGCTGACTGAGATAAACCTCTGGATGTCATTTCTGATAGTATGAGATAGGAAAAATCTTAAACATAAAGCTGTAGAAATGGTGAAGAGGACTACAGAACTCTTTACTAGAATTCAGATGTCTTTACCATGAACTATCGTGGATTTAACACCAAATATCACCTTAAGATAATACATGGTGTCTGATTCACTACATTATTGAGGCTACTAATGTTCTGTGTGAAAACCTGAATGCTGTGTTAATCTACAGTAATCAGAAACGTTGCCAAGAAGTCCAACTATCTATGTCATTCTTATTGGGAAAATAGGTGGCTCTCTAAACCTTCTATGCAATGGTCTCCCAAACACGACTCAAATTACCATGGGAGCCTGCAAATATAATGGCTTTTCCAGAGACCCAGAATGACCTGCTTAAAATATAATCCAAAGATTGGAAAGGATAAAACTAATCATGTAAGCAGTTATAAAGATACTGAAATGCTCACACGAGCTTTTAAGTTAAAAGCTCTTAGCTTTTAAGACAAAGAACCTACTTTACAGATACATGGATACAAAACAACCTCCAAGATACACTGTTAAATTAAAAACACAAGGTATAAAGCTATTTGTATAGGATGCTACCAATTATTTAAAAATAACCAGGGACAGTAGGAATAAATTCTACACATGTATATGTGATTTATGTCCTATGCTTGTATATCCATAGGATATTCTAGAAGAATACCTAAGAAACTGGTTATGACTGCTTCAAGGAAGAGGAGTCAAACTCAGGGATAAGGTGAGAAGGTAACATTGTTCCCACTAACTCTCCTTTTACTATTTTTCTTTTACAGAAGTATTTTTATCACCTATTCACAACTATTAAATAAATCAAACTCCACTTACTCGCAATTTTGGATTTTACTTCTGAAAATCTGGAAAATAAAAACCAATGATGAGGTTCATACTAGAGAGAAATGTACCACAGTAATCTAAGATGTTAATAAAAGGGGAAACGGGGTCTGGGAGTGTAAGGGAAACCTTTGTACTAAAGGTCATCATCAAGGAAAGAAGGAAGGGAGGGGAAAAGGGAAGAAGAGAGGAAAGAAGGAAGGGAGGGAGGGGGGGAGGGAGGAAGGAAAGAAGGAAAGCAAACAAACCAGCTAGTCAGCCAACCAGGAGGGAAAGAGTACTGATAGTAAGCATGCCAGGTAACAAAACTGAATTTGGGCCATTCAGATGGGGCGGCTAGTTCTCATTTATGAAATTCACTCTGAATAACCAATAACTTGTTAAAGAGGGAGATGTTCTATATGAGGCATTAACAACCCCACCAGCCCCAACACTGAGCTATTGTCTCTGCTTATATTCACTAACAAGTTTTTCAAAGATTTTTTTTTTTTAATTTATTTATTTTTGAGAGAGAGAGTGTGCACAAGTGAGCGAGGAGCAGAGAGAGAGGGGGAGAGAAATTCCCATGCAGGCTCCACACTGTCAATGTGGAGCTCAGAGCAGGGGCTCAAGCTCACCCAATGCAGAACTTGAACTCATGAAACCTAAGATCATGACCAAGCCGAAGTCGGATGTTTAACTGACTGAGCCACCCAGGTGGCCCTATTCGCTAACATTTTAAATTCCTATTTGTTTATTTGCCCCTTCTGTTGGGATTTTTTTCATAAAAAAAAATTCCATTACTGTTATTTAAAAGAAAAATAACAAGAACAGTATACGAAACATAGAAGTCATAAAAAGGACCCAGCAATGTGTGTTACAGACGAACCATCCAATCTTTGCAAATTCAAAAACTAAAATATTACATAGTACCATACACTAGAATTTTTTTTTTTAATTTTTTTTTTTTTTAACGTTTATTTTTGAGGCAGAGAGAGACAGAGCATGAACGGGGGAGGGTCAGAGAGAGGGAGACGCAGAATCCGAAACAGGCTCCAGACTCTGAGCTGTCAGCGCAGAGCCCGATGTGGGGCTTGAACTCACGGACAGCGAGATCATGACCCGAGCCGAAGTCGGCCGCTCAACCGACTGAGCCACCCAGGCGCCCCTACACTAGAATTTTTTAAAATCTTAAATATCAAGGGAGAATGTACGTTATGAAAAAGTAATGTTGAGAGATCCTATGTAATCAGTTTGGAGAGAGAGGAGGATGGTTGGCAAAAGAGATGGCAAAGACAGATAAAGAAGGTGATAAAAATGTAGAGTTGTACAGGGGCGCTTGTGTGGCTCAGTCGGTTGAGCATCCGACTTTGGCTCAGGTCATGATCTCACAGCTCGCGAGTTCGAACCCCGCGTTGGGCTCTGTGCTGACAGGTTGGAGCCCGGAGCCTGCTCCAGATTCTGTGTCTCCCTCTCTCTCTGCCCCTAACCCACCCTCACTCGCAATCTGCCTCTCTCTCAAAAATAAATAAACATTAAAAATTTTTTTTAAAAAAGTAGAGTTATACAAAACTGATGTATCAAAGTCATGGTGGAATAGAATGCATGTAAGGCCATACTGATCTCTGTGAAAGAATTAAAACTAATTAGGACATATATTCAACTCCAAGGCTTGGCAGAGACTAAAACAGAATTTTAAGAGAAATATGTAACTGAGAAATAGGAGAAGATGAGTATATGCAGAATAGAATGGAGAGATTATCCAACAATTATCAGGCAACTTATTGTGATCTACACATTTTACCCATTTAAGGAAATGGTCCAATTTTGAAGTCCCTAAGGAGGAGTCTGTGGCTAGGCTAAAGAGTCTAAAATTCCATGAAGTTGCTTATAACAATCTGTGTGGATCTGAATTTTCTGAAGAAACTTTTTTAGCTTTCATCAACTTTTAAGGTGTCTAAAACTCCATAAAGTTTAAGGACTCTCATCTAGATATAAGAAAAAGCAGCTGAATGGCCCCATGTTTAAACTTTCCCCATTCCCTCCATTCCAGCTTATCAGAGTCCACAAAAAATGAAAATTTAAAACATCACTTTAGGAAATTTCAAAATTCTTCAGCAATTTTTTTTTCAGAAGAAAGACAAAGAGGGGCACCTGGGTGACTCCATCAGTTAAGTGTCTGACTCTTGATCATGGCTCAGGTCATGATCTCACGGTTCATGGGTTCATGAGATCAAGTCTCGTGTCTGGGGTTCTGCTGGCAGTGTGGAGACTGCTTGGGATTCTCTCTCTCCCTCTCTCTCTACCCCTGACCCGTTTGTGCATGCACGCACTCTCTCTCAAAATAAAATAAACTTAAAAAAAAAAAAAGACAAAAGGTTGAAAGTATTTCAAAGTATACCACTAAATTTAGATATTAAGAAACTATATTTTTTCAATCAACTCTTATATACTATGCTTGTACAAAGGAGGTACTCAATAAACTCTTGTTGAATAAGCAAAAACATACAGGGAAAAATGAAACTTTATAAATTATAGCATACATGCAAATTAGCTCTTGAGAAATGAACTTGCCTGTCAAAAGGTAACTCTTGGGCAATTAGGTGCAACTTCTGAATGATGTCTGCTGCCTCCTTTATCTATTCAAAAATAAACGAAAGCAATAATTAAAAAAACAAACCCTATACATACCAAATATATCTTTATATTTGAAAAAAATAATAATCCCCTATGTATGCCAATAGACCCTCACTCCAACAATTATCTTTTAAAATCCATACAAATAAAACCTTGTGAGCAACAGAAATACATTATCATCAATAAATGAATCAATAAAACATAAACATCTGTCTTTCTGGTATTGAAATTTTGTGATTTTATAATGCCATAATCCCTTCCCAGTGAAACTTGCAGTTCAAGTTTACTCTGAAAAAATTAAAATCATTGCTTGCTGAAAGCCTAAGTGTCTCTTCTGGTTTATGAACCCAAAAAAGACAAACAAGATTTATGAAAATAATTCAGATCATATTGCTGCATATATCCCACTTTAAGCTGAACTGAATGAATATAACTAAATAAAACAGCTAACATACCTATCATTTAGTAAACACATAAATTTATAAAACTTGTTCTAAAAGCAAATATAGAGTTGAATATGAAGTCTCCTGAATGAAATATGGTACAGAGGTGTACTTCTTTAAGTGGTGGAACTAAAGGATTCAGGCCAAGGGTCGAAAGTTCTTGAAATGCAAATATTTGACCATGCTTACTTACACTAATGTGTGGGGGGAGTTATACAATATTCTCTTTTTCTTTAAGTTTCAATTAAGTACTGAGTTTTGGCACACCTTCAGTAACTGATTTATGATCACTCACTTTCTTTTACACTAAAAAATAAAGAGACTCTTACAAACATGAAGCAAGAGCTAAAAACATTAACACAGATCTTTCTAACCAAGCACTCATGTGAAGTCTGGCAAGCAAAGTGGACAACAGCAGGGCCAAACAAACTGTTGCCAAACAATAGTGAACATAGCATTCTGGTTTTAGTTATCTCTTCTCTCCTTGTCTGTATGTCACTGTGACATACAGTGGGGGGGAAGAAAGTCAGCTAAACAACCTTCTTTCAAGATTGCAGAACAGTCAATACCGTGTACCCTCAGACCAGTATTAAGTTACTAGTGCCATGAAAAGGATTAACATAAACAATTCAGATTTTTCCAATCTCTTTGGTCCAAACTAGAGCTCTTTATTTAAGCAACAGAAACCAGAAACTCTGAATTCCTTGTGCAGAAAGATATTTCAGCTTATCAATGATTTAGGTCACACCACCCCCTAAACCCAACAGAATATAACTATTAAATTCTGTTAATATTATAAGTCAATTATGGGAAAGAACTATTAACATAGTTACCTCAGCATTTCCAAACCACACATAATTCTATAAACAAAAATGCCAAGACAATCCTGTAGTTAAAAATCTGAATATACACACTTCATCAGGAATCTGCAGGCAAGTGTACTAATACACATTTCAGAACAATAAAAAGTTTCAATAAATCAGCTACTCAGTGATTTGAAAGTAATAATTAGGGCATTGCTATTAATGATGCAGCTTGCTTTTATCATTCTGATAGTGCTCACCTTTTCAGAATTTGTAAAAACATCAGATTTCAATTCTCCATCTAGAAACTCATTGAAGTATTTCATCAATTTCTGAGCCTCCACTGCCCGTTGTCTAGGTGTATTTACCCCTTCCAACTGGTCTCCAAGGTGACAGACCTTGGTTGCTACATAGCTGATGTGCTCATCTAGTTCTTGGAAATGTTGGAAGGCAACCTAGGAAAAATGTACACAAGCATAAAATATAATCAGAGAATCCAGTTTATAAATTAATTCATATCAAACCCAGAGCACCAATCTCATCCCTACTCTCTAACTTAGGTAACTAAAGATAATATAGAAGTTATATATGAGGTAAACTACAAAAACAACTTATGCCCATTAGCAGCATAACATGATCTGAAAACTTTTAAACAAACTTGCACACTTTTATACCTTTAACTATTAAAACATTTTATCAACATTTGTTTAGAAACAAAACAGTATCCTGTTTAACAACATTCCCAGTACCATTTAGTCCTGAAAACAATGAACTAAGTATCAAAGGGACCCATGATCTGGACAATTTGCTTGCCATCACGCGGAGTCAAAATACGTCAGACGTGAAAAACACTAATTAAAAATAGAATATTGGGAGACCTGGGTGGCGCATTTGGTTAAGCGTCCAACTCTTTATTTTGGCTCAGGTCATGATCTCATGGTTTGTGAGATTGAGGCCCATGTCTGGTTCTGCGCTGACAGAGCCTGCTTGGGATTCTCTCTCTTCCTCTCTCTTTGCCCCTCTCCTGCTCATGCTTTCTCTCTCTCTCTCTCTCTCTCAAAAATAAATAGAGTAGTTAACACATATTTTAAATATTTGAAGAGCAATGCCAACCTTAGAAATAAGGTAAGATGGTTCTTGCCCAGTTTTGAAAACAGAAAAGACTATAACAATTATTTAAATGAAGCAAAGGTACAATACTTCCTAACATATTTTTCCTCTTTTCTGACTATAGAGATTGTTCTGTGGTATATGAAAATTATACACAATGAATGCCTTAGAACTGCCAATAACAAAATTGGTGATAATTCAGTATGACACTTCACTCTTACTTTAAGTTAAGATGGGGGTCGGGGGGGGGGGGGGGGGGAGAGGCAAACATTCACTAAGGCCTTCCTCTGGGCCAGACACTGTTCTAAGCATATTATATGTATTAACTTATTTAATCCTTGTAACCACCTATTTTTATAGATGAAAAAAACTAAAGCACAGGGAAGTTAAGTTGCTAGTAAGTGGCAGAGCAGACTTATCTCCAGAGCTTGTTAGGTTAACTAATAATACCATTATTATTACCAAGAGAAAACTGCATTGGAAGTATTTGGAATCTATCACTTTGACTATGTAAAAACACATCCTCTATCTTATGTAAACTACTGACTTTATTAAATGTTTTCTCACAGCCATATATGCTTAAGCGAAGGAATCTAACTAAATAAAATCTGAGCAGAAATCAGTTTGCTAATCCCTAACACTAAAGAACAAACAGCCCCTGGGAGGCAGCAATGCTACACAATGCTCCATGAACTACACTTATACAGGGCAATCAAGTTCCAGATCAGGCCCAGGCCATAAAAGGGGTTCACAGATTCCAGATTCAGTGTAGGACCTAAGAAGGGCTAAGAAATTTGGCCTACTTACCCCAGGGCCAGGCTGTGATTTGATTTTACTTCAAAATGGATTGAGGAAGAGTACTGCATTCACTTTCCCCATGTTATACTACAATTCTCATGGGGACACATATTCCGTGACTTCTGTAAAACTTCCCAGATCAGGGAAAAATGTGATCCAGGCAATACTGTTCTGTTATTGCTTTGTTTTATGTTTACATGAGAATGCAAATGACACTTAAATATCCAAGCTAATCATGAGCCCCTAAAAATGCAGGTCAGCTAAAGTGACATTCTTCAAAGAATGCACTGTGACTGTACTGGATGCCACTCCAACCTAAGAAGGGAATACTGTGATCCCAAACCATGGATCAACAGCAAGTCTGTGCTAAGAGTGCCTCACAACAATTCATTGACATTTTTCCCCAGGGATGCAAACGGTGGAGAGAAACCTCAATGGTTACTATTATTTGACTAGAGTTCTTTAAGAACTTAATAGTGGAAGGGAATAAAAATATAATCTGTATAAACTATTCATTGCTTAATCAGTGTTTACCTGATTGCTTTTCTGGAGCTCTTGTACCTTCTTGGCAAATTCCTTGGCTTCTTTCTGACACTGTTGCTCTAGTTTCTCTACTTTCCTTTGAATCCTTTCATCCATTATCTGGAGTTCTTGAATATGATTTACAAATTCTTCTAATAACCTAGTAGAGGAAAATCAGAGTATGATTAATCATTAGGAACTGACCAGTTCATCTGTAACAGAATATTAATAAGCATTTCTTAAGGTAGGAATGATGTTAATTTTCTCTATAGCATCTTAGGAATTATCTTTAACATGAATGAAAACCTCACTCAGAATCTCTGCCAGAATAGAAACCAATTTTATAGAAAACAGTCAAAACGATAAACATGCTATATAAAAATAATACTGTGCATTCCATGGCAATGACTTTCTGTTCCTCTGATTTATAGCTACACTTAAAACAACATATTCAACATGTTTTTATTTTACAGGTAGAACCAACCTTTTCTGATTTATTACTAATTGAAGAAAATATTAAATTCTTATAACACAATAAAATTCCTCCCCTCATACCAGTTAAAATCCTTCTCTAAAAGAAATATAAAAGAAAATAAATCAATCCCTGACTTCTAATGCTTGTGTCTTTATCGTCCAACTGTTAACTAAAACCCCTTTACATAAACGTTGAAAGGAATTTCAGTAGTCACCTCTATTCCAAACAGAAACTTGAACTAGGTGGATCTATGGGGAAAAAACATTTTTACTTCACCTTTTGGGATCAAAAGCTTCAGGTCCCCCTCTAGAGCCTCCTCCTGGGGTTCTCCACACAAGTCTTTCAATATACTCATCTGCCACAAAAGGCTCCTAGTATACAAAATAAGTGTTCTTTTAAAAAGTTTCATAGAAGATAACTTAATGCTACTTGCAAAAATTAAACAGGTTCTACTATGTGAGCACTTAAAATAGAATTAAATTATCATTTAAATACATCTACATTATTAAAATGTGCAAGGCTTTTTCAGTTGAAAAAAATCAAATTAATAAAAATTAGGATATTAAAATATCAGAACAGTATCATGACTAGTTAGAACATCCCAGTGGGAAAATGAGCAAAGGACACAACTTATAGAAGAAAAACAAGAAACATGAAATATATGTGGCTTCACTAGTAAACAAATCAGGTCAAATTATCACTTTTGTTTTTAACCTCACACTCTGGCAAAGTGGGTGGGTTTTTTTTGTTTTGTTTTGGTTTTGTTTTTGGTAATTATAATATGCAATATCGGAGAGGGTAAACTGAAATTCACACTCTCATCTAATCTAACATGTACAATATTTTTAAAGGATAATAAATAATGATTTAGTAACATAAACAGTATTACAAATACTCATACCCTTTAACCTAGTAATTCTACTTTTAAAATTCTAAGGGAAAAGCAGATATGAACACAAAATTTTTTACAGAACATCCACTAAGTATTATGTACAATACTGAAAAATTGTTCATATAAATACTTAATGAAATCATTATTGAAAATTTATGACAAACTTCCAGGATGAAAACTATGTTCCTATTAAAATCATGCTGAAAAATCATGCAATGAGAAAAAAATGTTCATCTATAATACTGAAAAAAGTAGGATACAAAATTTTCTAAATTTTCTGAGAAAAAAAGCATTTATTATGAAAAAAAGAAAATTAGAGCAGATGATCCAATCAAGAAAATAAACACTCAAATCTTTACCATTAGCAGCTGACAATGAATTTTTTAGACTAATACACGCTAGTGTACATATTTTTCATACCATCTTCTTTCATGTAAATGGGTATCCTGTATTGCTTCCCACTTAGCATGTAACTTAGACTGCTACCATTTGCTGGTGATTCCAGTCTGAATTCTTATTATTTGCAAAATTTCCTATTTGTTAATCATATCTTAAAAACATATTTTCATTCATAAACACTCATTAAACAATAAAATTTCCAGTGCCAAGCACGCTGTTAGGCTTTGGAATAAAAAGATGTATTAAAAAACTGCAACCTCAGGAAACTCACAACCTAATAGAGAAGAAATTATAAAGAATGCAAAAGTATGTGACAAGTAAAATTAAGAACCTGTGCCCAAACTTTAATATTAACACTGCTGAATAAGTCGCTACCTCAACAGGTAGTTGGACAACAAAAAAGGGGTTATTTATTAATTCAGCAAATTTTGCTGAGCAACTGCTATGTGCTGGGCACAGTGGTGGGTATTGAGAATACAAATTGTAATTCAATAGACAGGGTTCCTGAAAGGCCTCAAAGAAATGATCTTCTAGGTAAGGATGCCAACATTAAACAATTACAGAAATAACTAGTTACAACTGTGATAAATGTAAGGGGAAAAAAAAAAGTCCTGGATCCAAGACTATTCAACAGAAACAGAGATGACAGGAAGACACTAAGGGACAGAAGACTGGTAAGACACAGGAATTACAACTGGCAAACTTTCTGAGAGCTTAACACTTAAGCTGAGACCAAAAGAAAGAAGAAAAATCATCCAGACAAAAATGGAACAAATATCTTTCCAGATCATTAGGGAAAAAGAAGATAGAACTTAACCTAGTTGTGGAACTGAGAAGATGGATAGATCACAAAGAGCTTATCTGGATGGAACAAGAGAGGTGACTATTAACCCCAACAGATAAGAAGTTTGCTCTTTTTATCATTATCATCACACTGGTACTCGAGAGACTGGTTTCACTGACGTGAGTCTGATGTGAGAGGAGGAATGGGAGGATGAATTTCAGTCAGACTATGGATAACCATCATCATAAAAACAGGAATATGTGCCCAAAACAGGAATATGTACCAACAAGAATAACAGCTCACGTAAACAGTTTACACGCATTGCCTCATTTACTACTCTCTTCATAAGACCTAGAAGGGAGGTCCTATTTCATCCTCACTTTATGATGAGGAAACTGAGAGTAAGAGAGGTTAATTACTTACTCAAGACAACACAAGCTGGGCTGAGATTTAAATCATTCTATTCTATTACTAGGTAAAACTGAATGGCAAATATGGGAAACTATAAGTAGCTCCTTGTACCTAAAGTTAGGTGGTAAGGATAACAGGTGAAGCTAAAAAGGAGAAAACTGTCACATGAAGGCCCACACACATCACTGATCAAAATTTCTTTTGAAATTTCTACTTAAATTTATAAACATTCTAATTGTATGACCCATCAATAATGTAAACTAATAATTTTCTCAGACAACTGATAAACTGTCACATGCCTATCTATACATAAGATCTAATATCAACTTTCAAACTGGATCATATCTTGTAAGAAAACCATACAGCTTTTACGACCGTTAATATCGCTGACTGCCCCCCGCCCCAAAAAGTAAACACTAAACAGTAAGAACACAAAACAATATAAATGGGCATTAAAATTTTTTAAAGACTTTTTATATTTTACCTACAAGAGGCTCTTTTATAGTGGTCAAATAACTAAAGATTAGCAGTTATATTAATCCAGTTTCTCTCATAAGATTTCCATTATAGGAAAGCTATCTGATAACGCGGAAGGCATAGAAAATAAAGAATATTGTTAACTACTTAAAAAATAAACCAGTTTATCCATGTGCTGACATGTTTGAGAATTAAACCCTAATGATGAATTAGATATCCTGCAAAGGAAAAATTTTGACCCTCTGAAATAACAACTCATTTAGCAAACATATCATCATTTAGATAATCATACCTCTCTCTAGTCAATTTCATTTGTGTTGAAACAAAAGTTGACATATGTCTAATAATTTTTAATTTACATACATAAATTGGGAAACATTGACTCAAGATCAAGGAATTTATGTTTAGAGCGAATACTTAGATCTTTAGAAACTCAGCTACTTACAAACTTCAGGAAATCTGACAAGCATATGAATTATTCCTAAATAATGACAAAATGCTGACAGCAGCTAATTTTTAAGTGTTTATTAGGTGCCTAACACTTTACATACTTAGTATCATTTAATACAACTCTATAAGGTAGGTTTTATTAATATTCATTCATTTTACACCTGTGAAATTGTGTGATACAAAAAGGTTATTTAATCCAAGGTCATATAGATTTATCTGATTTCAAAGGTCCAAGTTTTCAGTTTTGGTAAAATCCAGAGTTTTTTCTTCAAAAAAAGCTAAATTAATTACGAAGTAGTCAGCTCTTCCAAAACTCCACAATACTTCCATCAAATAGCTTTACCCAGTAATGTTCTTTTTCCCTGTCAGTTTTTGCACATGCATACCTATGTAAATACTTAATAATCATAGTTCTCATTTGTTAATTTTATTTATTAGTTATTCAGTAGTTGCAATTTCTTTTTTTTTTCAATATATGAAGTTTATTGTCAAATTGGTTTCCATACAACACCCAGTGCTCATCCCAAAAGGTGTCCTCCTTAATACCCATCACCCACCCTCCCCTCCC